CTCAGCCTCCTGAGTGCCGAGATCTCAGGTGCACTCCACCGCACCTGGCATGAAAATTTCAGATCTTCTAATAGCAGAACCTAGTTTGATGGCTCTCGCTCTACAATGGGAAAGCAACTGAAAATAAATCAGTTTCTGGGGTTTTGTTTGTTTGTTTTTGTCTTTGAGAAAGAGTCTCCCTGTGCTGTCAGGCTGGCCTTGAGCTCACTTTGTAGCCCAGGCTGGTCTTGAACTTGCAACGATCCTCCTGCCTCAGCCTCCCGAGTGCTGGGATTATAGGCGTGCGCCGCCACCACACCTGGCAACTAGTTTCTGTATTTTTCATACACTGTATGGTAAAGCAGCTTCTTTGAAATGGTCACAGTTTGAAAAGGATCCCTTAAAACATAGGAAGAATAATGACTGATGAATTCTAGGCATGCTTGGAGTGGGTGTGTGTTCCATATTAATCAGCAAATGAGACTTTCTGCCTTGTGAAAAGCAGGAGTAACCACTTCACCCTCTGTACAACCTCCGCCAACTCTGATGCTTCCCGGGGATCGTTCTCCAGCTGTCAGTGCAGAGAATGGTGCAGACCTTTATGATGAGAAAATACAAAGCAAGTTTAGGGGACAGATTTCATGTCAGACAAATAATTTCCAGAAACAGGATAACATATACATTAAAAACTAGAAAAATAATAAATTTTGTTTGTATATAGGTCAGGGTTCTTGACAGAATTTTCCTGTATGGTATTTTACATGGATTTTTAAACAGTGACGAAGTTTGTAAAGACATTTGTCCCAGATCCTATGTAACAGATTCTCAGGTGTGTGTAAAGCTGGGGAACGATTGTGCCCATGAAACTGGTTTCGAGCCTTGAGTGGATTTGGAGCTTTGTGGATTTTCTCCTCCTTTTTTTGTTCAGATCAAAGGAGGCTTTTTGTCCTTTTTAAAAATTAGTAACAAACATGCAATAACTTGCATCAGAATAATTTGTTGAGATTTTGGTTTTTGATGTTATATTTGTTCCAAGAATAAAAACACCAAATACTAACCTACTACCCTCAAAAGATTTTTCTACCCACCATGCTGAAGGTCTGCAACAAGGAAAAATAAATGAGGCCAACTTTCTTTTTTTCTTATTTTAAGGCTTTCTCATCCACAGCAGGTGACTCTTCACAAGTCTAGTTTCAGTGTATTTTAGTCCAGTGGTTCTTCGTGTTTGTTCTCCAGCTTTATGTTCTGTATGACAACACTCTGGTCCTTGAATGTAACCAGAGCCTGAGGCGGGTTGCGTACTTCACGCGCTCGCCCAGGGTTGAGGCCTGCGCTCAGCCAGGTACACACCGTTGCTCTGAATGAGCGCCTCTCAGCATGCGCTTACCGGCGGGGTTTCCTAAGCCAGCTGTAAAAAGCTACTGCGCTGTGAGGCAAGTTTCCCCTCCCTCCTCCCCTGATGTGTGTACTTTAAGTTAATCTACAATGTCAGAGTGAACTCTTGCTTCTGGACTGCTGCTGGGAAATAACTTGAGGGATGAGTTGGCAAGTTGGTATTATTTGCCTTAAATCTAGTTAAGAGTAAAAGTTAGAGGGCGCGGTGGCACACACCTGTGATCCCAGCCCTTTGGAGCCTGAGGCAGGAGGGTCACTGTGAGTTCCGGGACAGCCTGAACCACATAGAGAGACCCTGTCTCAAAAAAAGGTCAAAGAGAGAAATGACAACTAAAGTTTTTATGAATATATAATAAAAGAGTAAGAGAATGTGACTCATAATTGATTTTATAACAGTTAATACCTAAATTTTAAATACATTTAGATTCTTCAGACCATTTATTTGCTAATGGTAGTTTTGGTTAATACATTGCTATAAAAACATAACCAGCCAGGCACGGTAGCACATGCCCGTAATCCCAGCCCTCTGAAAGGCTGAGAGAGGAGGATTAATTGCAATTTAGTGATGTAGCAAGACCTTGTCTCAAAATTGAAAAGAGTTTGAGGATGTAACTCAGTGGGTTCAGTCCAAAGGCCCTGGGCTGCCGGGCTGCTGGGCGTGGTGGCACACGCACTCAGGAGGGAGGCCAAGGCAGGAGGATCGCTGTGAGTTCAAGGCCAGCCTGGGCTACATAGTGCATTCAAGGCCAGTCTGAACTGCAGAGTGAAACCTTGTCTCAAAAAGACCAAAAAAAAAAAGGCCCTCGGTTTCATCTCTAGTACCCTCCCCACCAAAAAAGTTAAACCCCTGTATTTTCAACTGGTTCCTTAGTCTCCTGTGGGAATCTGTGTAGACATCCCCCACACCAAAATGCCACAGAGCATGTCATACATAGCACCTGGTTGGCCAGTATTATCCCCAAAATAATTGCCTGAAAGTTGGAGAAATTCCCATCACATGAATGTTCAATAGCTTATGCTTTTTATCAGCTAAGGTGTATTTCTTACTGGATTTACACTGATGAATTATTTATCTTACTTTGAAGAGAATTTATTTTATTTCAAAGAGAAAAATTCAAAACAAGATAATAGGAGGGTAACAATGGTTAACACATTGTATATTGTTATCTTTAAAGTAGTAACTCAGAATACAAGATATCAGCTTTTTTTTTTTTTTTTTTTTTTTTACTTTTTTTGGTCTTTTTGAGACAGGGTACTGCTATGCAGTTCAGGCTGACCTTGAGCTCATTATGTAGCCCAGGCTACAATCCTCCTGCCTCAGCCTCCCGAGTGCTGGGATTACAGGCATGTGCCACCATGACCAGTTTAACATATTTGTCCAAATAATTTTTTTCCTTTTTTTGGTACTGGGAGTCAAACCCAGGACCTTGTGCTCGCCAGGCAAGCACTTGTGCCACTGAGCTATATCCCCGGCCCTCCAAACAACCTTTCTTTTCAATGAACTAAGAGAAATTAGCAGTATAACTGTCTCTACTATCATTTATACATGTGTTTTTTTCCCTTCCGTCTTTTCTGCATTCCCCCATCCCAGTTCTTTGAAGAGAATTTGAAATGGTTGTTGGTAGTGCCTTCCTTATGTGCCCTCAACAACAACAAAATTAGACTCTAACATTTAGGTTTGGGTCTTACTTTCTCTCACTAACTGGCAATTCTTGGTATTTCTAAACCGTGGTTTTTTTAAAGTAATTTTTCAAGTACTGGTATTAAAGTAAATGAACTGGCTTATGAAAAGGAAAGTTCTCACACATTTGCTGTTTGCAAAGCCGTTGCTTGTGTGCATGCATTTTGCTGTAGTTGTTTCTTCATCTTCAGCTGGTTCCTCTGCAGTGTGAAGGGGTGGGCTGTTTGCATTCCCGTCTGGATTACGGGAGGAAAGGATGTGTGAACTACCAAGGAAAATCTCTCTTCTGAAGAAAGATTGCCCCAGTGTTCCCTGTTGTGGTCAGAGTCTTCCCTGATAAACGGCAGCCGGCTCAGATACAGCTGCTCAGGTCCGCCTCCGCGTGAGGCCGCCTGGAGTCAGAGACGGACACTGACCCGGGTGCCTGTCCTGGGCCTCCTGCTCCCAGCTTTGCTGCTTTTCCCCTGCTGTCTGCTCAGGCCTCTGCACATCCTGCAGTACTCAGGACGGGACCCTGGACACTGGTCCACACCACCCTCCTTCCTCCTCCCAGTTCTTCTGCTGTGTATCTTCTGTGCCAAGAGTGTTATTACTGAGTTGGAAATTCTTTTGTTCACAAATCAGTTTGTGTATGTGTGGGTGTGAGAGAGAGACAGCTTTGAATTTCCATAATGATTGTAAGTTCTCCGTGGGCACAGACTGTTTCTTACACTTCTTCGGTCTTTTTCCATAGCATGAGAGCAAACAGGGACTTCTGTGACTAGTAGTTGGGTAGATAATAAGATTAAAGAAAAACATCAACTAGGAGTTAGGAATTTATTAGCTTCTGGTAAGTACAGTACCGAAACACAAATCTCTTCTTGCTTTTTATTACAAAGAGCGGCCCTAAACCGTAGGAAAGAGAGAAAGTTCCCCTGAATCAGTAAGCCTTCGGGGAGAGCGTTAGGTACTGTTCCAGGTGCATTTGGAATACCTCCTCCTGCCCCTGGGAAAGGGTAAGGCGGCTTCGCGCCTTAGCCATCATGAGATGGGTGAGGAAATCAGGGGTACCGAAAACAGACATTTGGCTCTCTAAGTTGCCCCAGGTTACCATTTTAAAAATCCCTGGGAGCTGTGTAAACTGGGAGCCTGGTGGCCGCAGCTGCCAAACCGGTCTAACAGCACACACAGCCTCCGCTTTGTGGGTGAGAGGGAGCCCCGAGGACGGAACCTTATCAGGGGCTGCTGTCCCGGTCTCTCAGAACAAGTCGTTTAGTAGGGAACGGGAGTTTCTGTGCAAAGCGTCCACCATAAACCGCGACGTGATTCAAGGTTCATAGTTCCCTCTTTGTTCCTTTGTTAATCACTGACTTCTGACTAGGGGGAGGTGCCTCCGAATTTGCTAATGCATTCTTTTTGGATAAGGATGACGCACAGATTGTCCTAATAAGGACTTAGATTGAGAAAGCCCCGCCCCCTCTGAGACGGTGGGACAAGTCAGAGAGAGGGCGGGCAGTTTCTTTTTTAACTGGGGATGACACAAGCGTAAGTCATTTCCTTGTGAATCGGTTCAAACCAGTTCTTACAGGAACGGGTGGTGATAAATGTGGCACTTCTCAGAAGTCATTCATTTTCTGCTCTGTGCTGCGCGGGGCGCCGCAGCGGGCGGGTGTGCGGAGCAGCACGCTGCCTCCCTGGGGACCGGCTCCTGCCGCAAGTGGCTCTCAGTTCTCCCAGATGTGCTCGGAGCAGAGAGTTTTCTACTTTAAGGAGTTGTTTGAAGGAAGGATTTTTAGCCACTTGAAAAGAGTTAGCATTTTGACAACTCTCTGATTGTTGTACTTGGTGCCTCTTTGCACCCAGTCCCTGCTTATTGAGTCCAGGCGGTAAGTAGGTTTTCTTTTAACATTTCTCTTGCTTTTCTTCCCAAATGTATCTTTCCCTCGGCTCTGTCCTCTGCTGCCAGTGCTGTCCCCGGCATAGGTCCGTCTCTGCAGAAGCCCTTCCAGGAATACCTCGAGGCCCAGCGGCAGAAGCTGCACCACAGGAGTGAAGCGGGCGTGCCCCAGGTGAGGACATTCTGCCTGCAGCTGCAGTAGCTTAGGCACTCACGCGTCTCTGGGCAGAGGGAGGGAGGTTGCTGGCCAGTCTCCTTAGAAACCAAGGCACTGTACGCTGTTGGGGTGTGTGTGTGTGTGTTTGAGACAGGGTCTCCCCGTATAGTTCACACTGGCCTTGGATTCACTATGTAGTCCAGGCTGGAACTCCTGGCAGTCCTCCTGCCTCGGCCTCCCAGCTTCTGGGGTTACAAGCATGCACCACCACACCCGGCTTATTCTCCATTAGAAAATGTGTCTCTGGCTTAAACCAGTCACCTTCTTCCCCAAAAATAACTGCTTTGGGGGACACATTCTAAAAACAAGTGCAAGAGTAATGGAAAATAATGGTTCTGCTATGTAGAATGAATTGTTGCCTTGATCTTAAATGGTTTACCAGGTACACTTCCCCACTGGATTAAAAAGTTAAAATGTCCACCATAACAAAGTGTTAGACTTAGTAAGGTAACTGCCTGCTCTGTTTTTTGTCTCAGCCATGGGAAAATGATCTTTTTTTAAAAAATAAACCAAGGCTCTGAACACAGCTGAAGTTTAAAAGTTTAATTTAAACTAAGCCTGTCTTTTCTGTAAACACTTCTGCAGCAAGGGGAAATGACTGAAAGAGGGTGAGTAAGCAATCACCTGAAATGGGAAACTCAAAGCACAGTTTTTTAATGGCTTTATAATCTTCCTGTGGCCTTTTGCTGCCCTCAATTATCCAAACATGACTTACATTTATATTTGAAAAGCAGCTCCTGCTGGGCGTCACAGTGCATGGCTGTAATCCCAGCACTCAAAAGGCTGAGTCAGGAGGATTGCCTCAAGTTCGAGGCCAGCCTGGGCTGCATAGTGAGTGCAAGGCCAGCTGAACTCAGAGCAAAAGCCTGTCTCAAAAATAATTAAATAAACAAAAGGAAGCTCCTAATAATGTCTTAACACTACTTGGTAAGTACCAGCTTAGCAACGTCAGAGAGTAGAATTTAACCAGAGACTATGCTTAGGTCAGAGTAAAAGACAGGAGATGAGTTCACACTCACAAAACTGTGACTTCGCGTGCAGCAGAGTCAGATCTTGATGGCCCCCTCTAAAAAGCCCTGTGTGTAGATTTCAGGGCGGCTGCAGAGGCAGACTTGCGTGATAGGTGAAAAGCCTTCCGTTCTCCTCGGTTTCCTTACCCAGTATAGGTGATCTCCTTTTACTGTTAAACAAAGCCTTTCTGATTTGCCTTGTTCTGCATGTATTCCCACAGGGAGAAAACTGGCTGTCCTGGATGTTCGAGAAGCTGGTGGTTGTGATGGTGTGTTACTTTGTCCTGTCTATCATTAACTCCATGGCACAGAGTTACGCCAAACGAATGCAGCAGCGGTTGAACTCAGAGGAGAAAACCAAATAAGCAAAAAACCATTTTTAACTGCAGCAGTTATAGTGGAGGGGTTCTGCCTTACCTTGGGAGAACTCCAAAGGAGGAAGGAAAATTCCCTTTTCCAACCTGCACCAGTTTTAAAGACTCTTCCTGAAAGCAGCTTAGCCCCTGTTTTGCACTGACATGCTTTTCTGTGTTAAGGTGAGGCGCCCCTCAGCTCAGCCCAGCTTGTGTTGTCAGGCTGGCGCGCGCCGCTGAGCCCAAACTTAACAGCACCTGGCCTCTCTCTTCCCAAAGGCCCACATGGTACAATTTGAGGATTCCTGCCACACCAGAAGTTCCCAAGTGTGTTAAACATGTCAAGCTTTTTCAGCTTGTCGCCAGTGATTGCTTTGTTTTTGTAAGTCATCAAAATGTATATAAGTTATAGAGATTGGCTGATGGTCCTGCATGTGTATCATGGTACAATTTAATATGCCGTCCTGCCCAGTCCCTCCCTCCTCCCTCAAAAAAGGCCATTTTATGATGCATTGCACACCCTCTGGGGAAATCTATCTTTAAATTTTGAGACAGTATAAGGAAAATTTGGTTGGTGTCTCGTGAATGAGCTGACACCATTTTTTATTCTGTGTATTTAGAATGAAGTCATGAAAAACTTTATAAAGACATCTTTGATCATTCCAAAATTGTGTCCGTTTTCTTGAGCGTTTTGATTATTTTTTTACTTCTATTTGGCTTCTACCAGCTGAACGGGCAGCCTTGCCAGATCATCCTACAACCGGAGTCCCTTAAGCCTTCCTTTATTTTCATGGAAGAGCCACCCCGTGGCAGCTGGCACCTCGGGGCTGAGCCTCACGGCGGTTCCGTGCTTTGTGGAGGACAGGGAAGGCAGCCGTGCGCGGCCTGCGCCCCGAGAGGGCTGGGCTGTGGCCCGGCGCTGAGCCCTTGCCTGCGGGCCTGGCCTCCGTCCCCACTACCTCAAAAAATCACTGGAAAGAGAAATGAACTCGTTGTTGTAAACTGCTTTCTCGTGTATATGTTAATTTTAGTTAGCATGTGGTTTAACAGACAGAAGTTCACTTTTACATGTAACCCAGTTTCCTTTCTGTGTTTTATTCTTAATGTGGTTTTCCTCCGGGATGTTTCCAATTGAACCTATTCATTTTGTTTCCCTTGGTAGGAAAATAAACCATTTTACTTTTTTCCTTTAGGAAAATGGATACTGACGTGTCAGACTAGAATAGAATTGGGGTTAAAGCCCAACAGGCCAGAAACGCGTGGTTGGTTGTAGCAAACCCTGCCTGAATGTCTGCGTGTTGTGCCTCCCGCCGTGACATCTCCATGGCCGTACCACCTTGTCGGGTAGCTTATCAGACTGATGTTGACTGTTGAATCTCATGGCAACAGCAGTCGATGGGCTGTCTGACATTCTGGTATCTTTCATCTGACCATCCACATCCAGTGTTCTCATTCCAACATCACCGGCATCATGGTCTCAGAGTCAGAGCCTGTGGTCCTTCTGTCTGTCGGCGCCCTCGACTTCTCCGTGCCGTGGTATTGTGCGGGTGGAGAGAAGCTCTCACGGGAAATTGGGGCGGTCCCCACGGCCACAGCGAAGCAGAGGATAAGTACCCTGCCACGTGGGTTTGAGAAGGTTATTTCCTTAACAGTCTTTTGTTTGGTTTTGATTTTTAGGGACTCCAGCAGTTTACTTGGGAGTTGACTGTACTTGAAAAGCAGTACCCAGAATACTTTATTTTAAATAGGGTCACCTTAAGCAACATAGTAGTTTAAAGTTCTTCAGGGTTAGGTAAAGCCAGGGTTCCTAAGTCAGCGTCCGGTTGTGTTTCATCTCCTTCACCTGCATTTTCTTCGGTGTTTGTCTGAGGGAAGAGGAAAGCAAATGTGAGTTGTACTATTTGTGCGGAGTGTGCGGGCTTTACCGATAAGCCTTTTCAAGGTGCTGTGTTAGAAAAAAAGCATTTGTTTCCTAGCCTGAAAGTCTCTTGACTTCTGACCAATATCGTGTCACAAATGAGCAGCTTGGGAAGCAGGAGCAGCTCTCCCGCTGCGCGCCCCTCTCCTGTTCACCACCCCAAAGATGCACCTTCAGACTGCAGCTGCCGAGCTGCAGAAAACTTGCAAGTAGCTGGTTGGTTTTACTGCAAATAAAAAGAGGGTTTGGGAATTGTGGTTCTCTGTCGGTCTCATTCTGTGCCTTACAAATCCCCAGTGTTTTATCGTGTCCCCACCCAGTGACCGTCCAGAGCAGCTCAGTACACCAGCAGGGTTTCGTGTTGGTTCCGTTCCGTTTGGTGTTTTGAGACGGAGTCTCGTTGTATGGCCTTGAACTCACGATGTAGCCAGGCTGGCCTCGAACTCAGGGCAGTTCCTCAGCAGGTTCCACACTTAAGCACTGACACGGGAAGGTCCTGGGGTCCTGTTTCCCACAGCTTTCTGTACCCCTGTGCCTGGTTAACATAGAGTGTGGGGCTTCAAAGAAAGATTTTTACTTCCATTTACGTAGTGACCACCTGTTTCCTTTCCAAGAATCCAGAAAGTCCAGGCTGAAATGAAGCTTCTTTTGTCCCTTTGAGGCAGGGTCTCTTCCTGTGTGGTCCAGGCTGCCCTTGAACTCAAAGTCCTCCCACGTCAGCTCCCCGACTGCCGGGATCACAGGCGGGCACCACCACGCCCGGCTGAAATGCGGCCTCTCCAATAGCTAGTCCTGAAGGACGAGCAGCAGTGACTGCCCCTCCCCAGGCTCGGGCTCGGTCCTGAGCTCTGCTGTCCCCTGTGCTCTGCTGCCTGTGCTGGTCGGACAGCGTGCAGCTCCTGTGTCACTAGTCACCTGTCGGTGACTCACTGAGAACAGATAACCCAGCTAAGCTAAATGACAAACTGTCTTCCCGTACTGTGGGATGAATTTGGACTGACCGTGTGTAAGGAGCCCCCACGTTCCTGGCCGTGTGACGAGGAAAGCTTTTTCACATATTTGAAAGCCGTTGCCTCTGTGTGCAGTAATCTTTGTGACTGTCAGGTCCGCCATGGGTGCGCTGTACGTGACCTGAAAGTTCTTGCCGTGCACGGATGTCTTCCGCGCTCAGCGACTCGGACTGCCCGAGGAATCTGGGTAGGGAATAAAGGGCCGGTCGAGGCGGTGCTCGTCTCTAGTCCCAGCTCCTGCAGAGGTTTGTGGCAGAGTTCAGAGGCCGCCTCAGCGACTTCGCCCAGCATGGCCAGGTCCTGGGTTCAGTTCTCACATGCTAACCACACTCTACCCCTGCACTTTACCCCCAGTGGTGCCGAGAACCAAGTTGGGGGATTCTAACGAAACACATCCTAAATTTTCATTATGAGATAGGGTCTTGCTAAGTTTCCCAGGCAGGCCTCCAGTTTGAGCTCCTCCTGAGGGGCTGGGGTTACAGGTATTTACCGCTGTGCCTGGTTACCCCTAAGTCAACAACCCAAGTCCATAAAGGGAAAGGCAGAAATTACCGAGTCGGTGATCTGATTAATAAGGCCCAAACTACCTTTACATTAACAGTGAGCCCCCAAGTGTCTTCTTGAAACAATATACAAACCACAGGTGCACAAAATTTAGTGTGAAGTCATTGAAAATACTTCTTTTTTTTCCTGGTGGTACTGGGGATTGAAAGGGCCTTGTACATGCTAAGCAAGCACCGTACCACTGAGCCACATTCCCACCTTAAAAACATTTTTTAAAAACTTTCTACCAGAAATTGCTGAGATTTTGTAACCTATTTCTATTATATATAGAATGTTAGGGGCCGGGGATATAGCTCAGTGGCATAAGCACCTGCCTGGCAAGCACAAGATCCTGAGTTTAATTCCCCATACCAAAAAAAAAAAAAATTCTTTGGGCTGGGGACATAGCCCAGTGGCACAGCTCCTGTCTGGCAAGTGTAAGCTAGTGAGTTCGATTCCCAGTACCCGCCCCTCACTGCAAAGAAAAAGATCTGGAATAGAATGTTAGTAGTTGGAAATAACACACTGTATAAAAATTTTGTATCAATTTTTTTTTCTTTGACTGAGATAGGCTTTCATTATGCAGTTCAGGCCGACCTTGAGCTCACTTTGTAGCCCAGGCTGGCCTGGAATTTGAAATGATCCACCTGCCTCAGCGTCTGGAGTGCTGGGAATACAGGTGTGCGCCACCACACCCGGCAGGGTCTCACTTTGCAGCCCAGTCTGATCTTGAGCTGTTTTGGTTTTTTGAGGCGGGATCTTGCTACATAGTCCAGGCTGGCCTTGAACTTGCTGTGTAGCCCAGGCTGGCCTCCAGCTCACAGCACTTCTCCTGTCTCAGCTTCCCAAGTGCTGGAATTACAGGCGTGTGACACCACACCCAGCTGGACCTTGAACTCTTGCCCAAACTGCCTCACCCTCTGGAGCACTGCAATTATAGGTGTGCACTACCACACCTGGCTGTCAATTAAAATCAGTTGGGGGCCAGGGAGATAGCTCAGCGGCACAGCGCCTGCCTGGCATGCGCAAAGTCCTGAGTTTGATTCCTAGTACAAAAAAAAATCAACTGACCTTTGTGGCACACCTGTAATCCCAGCACTCTGGAGCTGAGGTGGGAAGCTAATGAAATAAATACACAGTTTTGGGGCTGGGGATTTAGCTCAGCGGCAAAGCGCCTGCCTGGCAAGCGCAAGGTCATGAGTTCGGTTCCCGGTACCGGAGAAAAACCATCTGGCCAATTCCTTTCTGACACATAGGCTTTACCAGTCAGAACCAAATAACAAGCGAATAGTGACAGGGTCAACAGGTAGATACAGAACA